GGCCTATATAGGTCGGGGCACCTATTTTTTCATACTCGCAGATTCCACATATTTAACGTTTAAAATGTATTTACCATGTATGACCCGGTTGGTTAAGGCGTTTGCAAAGACAGCAGAAGGTCCGGGGTTCGAATCATAGATAAATAATAATAACAGTAAATAGGAACATGTTATAACAATCGTCTCAATCAAACTATTTTGTACATCATATACTAGAATTTCCCAGCTGCGTCCTACACGATTTTGTGTGAGCGTTCCTGTTGTATGAGAGAAACTGCCTGAGGGCTAGATCGTCGCCTATATCCTAACGGTCTCAGTGGTCTAATGTGTATGATACTCGCCTTGATAGCGAGAGATTGTAAGTTCGAATTCCGCAGACACCTTTTTCATACAACAGGAATGAAGGAATTTTCCTTGATGTGTTATGCTATTACAACATGTTCCTTAAATATTATTTATCCATTTGTTTATAGGCCTATTGTGTTTACGGCGCTACGCAGCAAAACTAATTTAAATATTATTAAATATTATGATTTCCCTGCTGCAATATACTGTAAGCTGTTTTAGCTTTTCTGTAGCATATGTGAGTGTTTCATGAGAGAAAGTGCCTATGGGGTAAAATCTGCACGTTATTCTATAGGTCTCCGTGGTCTAATGAATATGACACCCGCCCTGACAGGGAGAGTATGCAGGTTCGAATCCCGACAGAGACACTTTTTTTCATACAACTGAATTGTGTAATCTAGAAATCAAGTTAATAATACATATATAATTGCTTAATATACAGAAGAGGACGACAAGGCTCTTGGCGAACCTGATAAACAGTTCTATATGGCAGTGGACATCAGATCTGTGAATAATGACCGTTACCATGATCCCGTGTACTATCCATTGGAACGATTTGGTGTCGACTACCGGCTGGAGATCGCCCAAATGAATGAAATCAGCTTTCTTCTTCCACCTTCACCACCTCTTACGCAATACGATGATTTAAGCGAAAATCAATTCTGTACTAAAGAAACAACCTTCAGAACAAAGAACTGCACCGCCGAATATTGCGAATGTACACAGATTATTGAGGTCGACCTGGGTGATGTATGTTATTGAGTAATTTTACGAAAACAACATGAAATTATAGGCATAGTACCATCCCCCTTTCCCTCTTTACCCACCTTTTCTTCTCCCTTTTTTCTCTCTTTTTGGGGTCCTAACCCTCGTTTCCCCAGGGATCCGCCTATGATGATAATGATGAAGATAGTGGTGATATAAATAATAATTTAAAAATATGCTTAATTTTAGCCTGATATTATAAGAATACCAATAAGGATATCATCAACATTGTCCTTTTTTTTCATACAACTGAATTGTGTAATCTAGAAATCAAGTTAATAATAATAGGCCTATATAATTGCTTAATATACAGAAGAGGACGACAAGGATCTGGGCAAACCTGATAAACAGTTCTATATGGCAGTGGACATCGGATCTGTGAATAATGACCGTTACCATATTCCCGTGTACTATCCATTGGAACGATTTGGTGTCGACTACCGGCTGGAGATCGCCCAAATGAATGAAATCAGCTTTCTTCTTCCACCATCACCACCTCTCACGCAATACGATGATTTAAGCGAAAATCAATTCTGTACTAAAGAAACAGCCTTCAGAACAAAGAACTGTACCGCCGAATATTGCGAATGTACACAGATTATTGAGGTCGACCTGGGTGATGTATGTTATTGAGTAATTTTACGAAAACAACATGAAATTATAGGCATAGTACCATCCCCCATTCCCCCTTATCCCCCCTTTTCTTCTCCCTTTTTTTCTCTCTTTTTGGGGTCCTAACCCTCTTTTCCCCAGGGATCCGCCTATGATGATAATGATGAAGATAGTGGTGATAGAAATAATAATTTAAAAATATTCTTAATTTTAGCCTGATATTATAAGAATACCAATAAGGATATCATCAAAATTGTCCTTCCAGGTCGTGGAGTTAATCGTGGTAAATGAAGCCTCGATCATTCCTCTCAGTCATCCAATACATCTACACGGATACCACTTTCGATTTATCGGAAAAGGGAAGATTGGAGATACGACTACGGTTGAAGAGGTGAAAGCAATGGACAAAGCAGGTTAGTTATTCCATAATTCTACTGGAGGGGAGGAGGTCTATGTAGTACCTGTCTCTTATACACATCTAGATGTGTATAAGAGACAGGTATATAAGGTGATGGGAATCCTGAATAGCCACCGTAAGAAGCAATTTCAATTAATTTTAGATAAACAACCGGTGGTGGCGCCAGAGATTCCCTCGACGAGCCCCCACCCCCATGGACGTCGATCGTTGGGGAACAGGGGACACGCCTCTACACATTTCGAAAGGGGGGGGGGACATAAACAAGTCAAACTTGATGAAATCCGTTTTTGTCATTAAACGTGTTTTTTTTGTTTCTAATGTTTTTCTCTACGCTGTTTTTAGTCCTTTATTGCTCACTTGAATTTTTAGGCGCTGTGGTCTTTGTAGAGCGCCATATAAATGCTTGATTTGTTATTATTATATCAATTGTGTGTCTCCTACCCCCTCTCAATATTCACCATTCTTCCCTACTTCTCAAACCGAGTAGAAAAACAACAATTACAGTGAGTGTAATATTTATAAGTAATAATAAAAATAAATTAATTATAATAATTGTATACGTACTTATAAAAAAGTAGTAGTGATATTTTATTCGTATTTATAACAAAGGTACTGCTACTGCTACTGCTACTGCTACTGCTACTGCTACTGCTACTGCTACTGCTACTGCTACTGCTACTGCTACTGCTACTGCTACTGCTACTGCTACTACTACTACTACTACTACTACTACTACTACTACTACTACTACTACTACTACTAAAATAAAACAGCAAAAAAAAAATTGAACAAATAATGTTGTGTAAGGAGGGCACATTAAGCTATTAATTTTTTAAGACTGTGCCTTCGATAAGGTATTGATAAAGACATTGAACTTCAATGCATACAAACAAGCAAGGTAATCAATATTTTTATGAATGTTATTCTTCACAAAATATAATTGGGCTTTTAATTCAAGATTTACGGGGCAAATTGAAACACCTTTTTATGATGAATATTCTGAAAACGTAATGTGGAAATAAATGTTAATTGAATTGTAAAATAATGTTATACTTAAAATCAATATAATTAAATACGACTTATAAAAGGGTACAGAACGCCAGAGCTTCCCGGTATTTTGGCCCAAGGGCCCTCACCGGCGCTCAGCCTCTGGACCCCACAGTGCTAGATTGGGCCTCCAAACGGTCCAAGACGAGTCCCTCTTTCTCATTCACTCCACCCCCACTTCCACCTTTAAGCACTGATAAACGCCTTTGGACAGCTCTGATATCTGGAAATGGCACGTTTATACTTTTTTTTTCAAATGGTTTCAATGAAAATGTTAATAATTATTATTATCATTATCACTGGGTAGGTATTACCATGATACCAGATGAAACATTTTGAGAATTAAGTTTTACATGCAATATTATTGAATTAATCTTAAGGTAACCTGACTCGCAAATTACATGGAGCTGTCAGGAAGGACACGTTTGTAGTTGATGATGGTGGATATGCGATCATAAGGTTCCATGCAGACAACCCAGGCTGGTGGATGTTCCATTGCCATCTAGTTACCGACTTTAAGGTAAATTTTATTCCTGCAATATTTAACGAAATTGATCCTCAATCCAGTGAAAATATCATATAAAAATACATCTGTGATGCTCATAAACCGAGCAAATGATCGTCGTTGTACTTGGGAGTGTATAGGGATTTACAGTATTTTAATTATGTGATTCAATATGCTAAAACTACCTGCTTGGGGACTGAAAGCATATTATAGATCCCAGGTATTCAGCCTTGTTAAATTGCCAATTTGTAATGGCCACGGTGGCCATTACAAATTTAGTAAAATCATCAGTGGGCCGACATTGACTTGTGTACTTCCAAATTATTTCATTGAACGACAGCCCCACACACTCAATTTTATAAGGCATAAGTCTTCTTAATAATAGGCGAATTATAATATAAAGCCTTGGTTTATGAGATTGAAAATACTTTTAAACATCAACTATGATAGACTTTGTTTTGTAAAATTGATGGAGGAGGTCTATGTAGTACCGTAGATATCCGTCTGTCGTGATCGAGTATAATTTTCATAAATAAACTTAATAAAAACCCAATACATTGTTGTTATGAATTTGTGAAATTCTTAATTTGTCTTAATACATTGTCATTTCAATTTCACCATATTGCAATAAAGCTTATTTGAATTTGAATCAAACAAAGTTAGAACGAGGAAGCGTATTCCACGACAATTAACGGATACTATACCTCTAATTTTTTGGATAGATTTGTTGGCAATCAATTTAAGAATTTTCTTGTAAAACGTTTATTGAAAGTTGAAAAAAAAATGATGGGTGAGATTTTTGTTTCAAGACCTTGCGTCGAATTCTTTGTTCATTCTCATACGTCATGATAATAATTATTTATAATGTGTTCGTTCCCTGGTAAGCATCTCTTTTAAAAGGGCGACCTCTACGACGAGCGCATCTTCGGCTCACTACCAAACAACACAGACGATAGGCCTAAGGCCTATCTTTATGGACTAGTCCCGGGAGAAGTCGACACATTCTAAATTTGATTCAATTTAATATCTCTTTAAAAAATATTTAAAATATGATTTTAAGATGCTTTCATTTTTCCTTTTTGCTTAGCTTGGAATGGGCGTGCTGATTAAAGTCGGGGAGCAGTCGGACTTACCGGAGATACCTCCAAACTTTCCCCGATGCGGCTCGTTTAATGGCCAACAGAGGTCCGAGGTAGATAATATCCAAAACAAACCGGGAAGCGCTTCAGCTGCATTCATTAGCATTTATGTCCTTTTGTTCTTGTTCATCTGTATCAAAGTTCTCTAGATTAGGTCATATTGTTTTTTTTAATACAGCAAAATTATGTTTTCGTTTGTTTGGTTGGCAGAATCACTTGAATGGATTTCGAGGATAAAACAAATAAAAAACAAATACAGTTTGTTCTTCCAAGTCAGTTTAAAAGTTCATAATGTTAGGCCCTATATCAAGCAGTTATTACATTTTAATTTTGTTATATAATGATAACATCAATGCACCGATGTCAATCAATCTATTGTTTATTTAGACAAGATTATTTGTCCGGTATGGTTATTATTCCAGAAGCCACAGCCAGGCAAAAAATAACCCAGGAAAAATGGCCCCGGTAAAAATGGCCCCAAATGACAGGTAGGTAAAAATGGCCCCAATAATAAAATTCTGTACCGTATTAAAACTGATTTTTGAAAAATCATTAGATGCATTTTTTTAAACTGAAATAACTTAGTTTTAAAAGGAATCTATTAACATCAAATAAATTGCCATTTACATTTTACTTTTTGCAGAAATTACTTATTCAATGATAAACTATTCAAAGATAAAAAAAAAGCCATGAATAACACTTTTTAATTTTTTTTCCCATTTAAATGTTAAAAAATAGCAACAATATAATCAATACATCAACATAATTCATTCATTTATTAATACTAAAATAATTTATTTGTGGCCAATTTCAAGGAAGCGGAATCACAATTTTCCAGAAATTCAATCCGGGTATTGGTAAACCCCACAAACA